AATGATCCCTGCAAGCACCTCCAACTGGGAGAAAGCCGCCTCCAAGTTCCTGCCCCGATGCCAGACAATCCAGTTCCTCCTTGTATGTGTCTGTGTCCCCCAGAGCTTCGCCCTGGCATTGGAGCTCAGAGGAAGCAGGACCTGGTAAGTTCATTTTATGGTGCTGGCCTTTTAAGAGGAACAGCTGGGTCTCCAGCAGTCTCTGAGTCACTGAGCCCCAATCTGCATTGGTTTTTACAGCTGAGGTTACGGGGACTTCTTTTCCCAGCTCTGGGACCCTGGGCTGGGCATCTGGTGTGGGGCTGGGACCCCTTGCTCCTCTGGGTGGCCTCCGCAGAGATGACCTCTCTCCTGATTAAAAAAGCGGCACACGTGGTGCTGGACCAGTCTGTTCCACACCTCTGCACCTCCTACCAGTGTCAGTGTGCTTTCTTCTTTACTTCTGTATGATGGTTGTTCTGTATTTTAGTTGTAATTTTGATGTGGTTGTGGGAGGCTGCGAGTACGGGAGTTTGCCACCATCATGGCCTCTGAGAAAATTCTTATAACAGTAATAACTTCTAAATAAATGTTCCACATAAGGGGGAAAGGTCAAGTGAATTGTAGTGTTAGTATTATAGAACTTAATATATCATTGAGAGTTTGTTTTTAAGGACATGGACATGATTTTAAATAATATTGAGTGAAAATAAACATAATATAAATTTATAATCACTACACTTATTTTTCATGAGAGGTATCTGCTTCAATAGCTCATACTGCAAACTGGTATAATTCAAGATAATACTCCCTTTGGTATAAATGCAGCATTTACAGGTTGTTTTCCTCAGGACTGGCATGAATGGTTGGGCAGGATGTGTAATGCACAAGCCGCACAGCTAAGGAAGAGCTGTTCACGTCACAGACATCATGGATTTGAATACTTAAGAAACAATTTTCCTGAAAAAGGCAATAGGACATCTTGTTAAATAATGTCATCGAGCCGGGCTGGCATAGCTCAGTGGTTGAGCATTGACCTGTGAACCAGGAGGTCACAGTTTGATTCCCAGTCAAGACACATGCCTGGGTTGTGGGCTTGATCCCTTGCAGGAGGCAGCCGATCAATGATTCTCTCTCATCAGTGATGTTTCTATCTCTCACTCCATCTCCTTCCTCTGCTGAAATCAATAAAAACATATTTTTTTAAAATGTCATCAATACTTAGATAGTTTCTGGACAGTTGGAAACAAAGCATTTCGAGGAAGGGGATTTTTAAAAGAGACACATAATGGAGGAGCATTTGACATATTGCCACCCCGCTCCCCTGCACATGTCATCAGTTTGGCTCCAATAAGCTCATCAAAATTCTCTGAGGGTCTGGACGTCCTTACGTCACGGGCGGGCACGCAGTGCGTCAGGACCCGAGGAAGCCCACCGGCTTCCTGCCTCCCATCCCGCCAACCGGCGAGTTTCTCTCAGGATTCTCGGCCTCCTGCTCTCAGTAGCCGGCCATGACTTTATTTAAGCTGCTCTTCGGAAACCCTCAAGGTGGGTAAGGATTGAGATAACCGGGGAAAGAAAAAAAGAGGTGCCGCTTTCATTTCGGCTTTTTCGTTGGATTGCTTACCGAGGCTAAACGAACGTTGTGCTGGGCCCATGAGAGACCCAGCTCCCTCTCCCCAGGAGAGAGGACACTTGCTCCCCCAGCCCCCGTGGCCGAGGTGCCGGCACTCAGACTTCAGCCCTCTGCATCCGGAGTGGCGGGCAG